GAAAGTTTTTTCTTTTTCTTAACCCAGCCTCCATTTCGAATACTGTCACCAGAGCTATGAAAAATTTGGTGATTTCCCTGGGACACATTATACTGCGGAGCCAGCTCTGTTTTTTAGGACACCAGTTGAATCCTACAGGGACATTTCATTTGAGTTCAGGATTTGCTTTTATGCATTTTCTTTTGCAGATTTGCTATTATTTTCAGCAGGGGGCACTGCAGGTATGTATATTCATTTTTTCCATTGTGCACATCCGTAGAAACAAATGTTTAAGAGGTGAGCAGGATTGTAGTTAAAATTGGCAAGGATTGTGGAGAATGGAGGTTCTAAAATGCATAAGCAAACTTCTGCACACAATGAGAGATGCTTACACTAAAAAAGCAAGGGATGTTGCAAGTGTGTGGTTAAGATTTTGGTTCTCAATGTATTTTTATACCTAGGACTTAACACCTTAGAACATGGAATGAATAGTACATATTGTAACTCCTAATTCTCTTGCTTCTCTTCATTAGTATCTCGCTTTTTCATAGTAATCTCATAATATTAACATCGATGTAATTTTAAATATGTATTTCTTACTGTTTATGCTACTGTTGTTTTCTGTCAAGTCCTTACACTCTAACCAGATACTGTTATACACAGCTATAAACACATATAATAGGAATACAGTAAAGGACAAAGAGGCTGAATGAAAAGCAAAAGCATGAAACACAGGCAGGAAAGCATGGTGACAGCATCAGAAAAACAGACGAGGCAAAATATGCTGAGCCTTCTGTTATACAGCTGTGAGCACAGCACTGCCATTGTGAGAGCAATAACGAATACAGAACAGCTCTAAAAAGGGTCACACATACATGCGGAAATTTCATGAACTCTAACTGCACACAAAGACTTGAACGAATAGACAGCCATTATCTGAAAAAATTTTGAAATACCCATTCCAGTTTTCCTTTTTTTTTTTTTTTTTTTTTTTGCAATCATCCAAACCATAGAAAATGTGAACACTTCTCTATTTTCTCTCCTGACATTTTTGTTGAGTCTCCTTCTCCCAGGTTTCTGGTAGGAGAACATTGCATTTTCACTCCTTTCAGGGCTGCTTCCAGCAACACTGAAAGTTTTCCATGTAGGCTTCCTGCAACTCCACAATATTTAAACTGTCAGTTTTTCCTACCTAGTTTCAAGATCTATGCAAACCAACATGAACTATCCCAGGCAAACCAACATGAACTATCCCAGCTCTGCACTTCAGCTGGGGATCTCCTCCAGTGATGACTACATATAGCTGTGAAGGTCCTTATACTGCAAGTAGTGGTAGAAGATAGCCTGTAAAATATATAACCACTTCAGCAATTTGGCTTCACATTACAACTACCTCTATATTCTGCATGAAATACTATGCATAAGCAAATTAGCCTTTTTTTTTTCTTTTTTTTCTTTTTTTCTGGCATGAAAAGGCAAATTCTTAACGGTAACAGCATCAGAGAGACGTTGGTACTGTTGGTAGTATTGCTGCATTAGAAAAAACAGTGAGTCCACGCAGTAGTTGTATGATCTCTTTGCATGCTGGGTTGATACTAGAGAAGACAGCAAATCCCCAGTCTGGGCTTCACGTGTGAATACATAAGAAAATATGCACCAGTTGCAAAACGGCCAGACTTCATATCCCCATTAATAGTAAAGCTGGAGCTTCTAGAACCTGAAGAGTTTTGCAAGATGTAATAAACCATCATTTTACATCTTGCCAATTGCCATTAGGAGAAGTGTGACGCAAAGGAGCAAAATATCGAAGAGCTGTGTCTTTGCTGAAGTCACATCACATAAATCCACTTAAATGAAGAGATGTGCACGATCTTCCCTCTCTTTGACTCTTGCTCTTGGTCAATGCTTTCCACTCAGAGTGCCAGCAGATTATCAGATTATCCCTGCCCGCACTGGGTGGGGGCAGGGATTGCATCCCCAAAGCTGATGCTAGCATTCTCCTTAGAAGATTATAGTCTTAAATACTGATTACGCTGTGTGTCTGTATATACTACTACAGAGGAAGAGAGGTTCGTGGATGGGACCACAGGCAATGAAGATGCTGTAACTTTTTCACTGTTACAAAGCATGCACAGCATCTCCGCTACGGAGCACTGAGGGTGTCTTGCAGCAAACAGAGAAAACCTCATTGCAGCTGACCTCAGCCCTTCACGGGTAACTGTGCTGTCCAGCAGCAATCATTCTTCTGCTTTGGATTTCACCCATTCTTTCTTCCTTTTGAAACTGAGGGATAGGAGATTTACAAATCCACTGGTTATTCCCATAGAAGCTTTCCATTGTGGGTTTTTGCTGCTTCATTATATATATATATATATATATGTATTTGAATATTTATATAATTTTTCCTCAAGAAACGGCACTTTCCACTAAATGGAGACAGGACACTGTATCACTTTGTCCTCCAAGAGGACGCTGACAACCAGGAACACAAAATAAAGCCCGAACATAAGAAAGCCCAATATTTTATTCATCCTCCACTTGCAGAACGCGATGGAGAGGATGACGAAGAGCAGCATAATGAAGAGCAGGACGATTGCACAGAACAAACCGTTGCTGCTGACCGTCACTGGGGCAAAGCTGTTGATCACAGCATATAAGAGCCATGGAAGAGGAAGGCTGTTAAGAAACAGAAAAAATAAATGGGAAACATTGCAGAGATGAAGAAAGGGGCACTAGAAAGGTTCTGAAGGCACTTCAAAATACAAAGATGTTTGCTGGGAGACAGGGAAACCCCTCTCTGGACAGATGCAGGGTGTTAGATCACACATTGTGCTCTAACTTGAGACCTCCCATCTCAGCATCAGGCTTTCATGGACACCCACATACTGACTGCCGGGCTGAGCCCCGTGTAGGAGAAGGGTGGGCTACTCAGATACGTGGGGAGACTGGGAAACCAAATGCTCCTTCTATGTAATTCCCTAACCTCTGGAGGCCACTCTGTGTTTTCTCATCACTGACATTTCCCCAGCCACTCCTCTTCTGCCTGCTTTGGCCTTTTGAACCATGGGATTCCTGCATGGAGTGAAGCATGAAGCATAAATTATGCATAAACCTCATTTGTCACTTTGCATGTGGTTCTCTGGAGAAGTTGCGGGACTTGCACTTGCCATCATTCCTCCACCAGCTGCCATGGGCAGATGTTTCCCTTGGCTGGCAGAAGTCACCTCGTTTCCTGCCTGTGAGCAAGAAGTCCTCATTCATCAGCTTGTGGATTCAAAGGATCCACAGAAGAATCTCTTCCCAAGAGCTTGCCTGGCAGCGGAAGGTGCCTGGCAGGCCCTTCCTGCACACAGTTAGCTCTCTCTTTAAGATGCTGCCCTTAAACTTCGTCCCTTAAGTATCTGGATTCATGCTTACATATAAACTTTGATTGAACTTCAGCATGATTTCTATTTTTATACTTGCTGTTGCTGCATTTCCCAGCTCTGATGCTACTGTTTGAGGCAACATCGCTCTGGAAGATGTCAAGTTGAAATAAATATTTAAGCTACTGATTGGAGCTTAGTAGGCTTGGAATGCATAAAAAGTGCTGTCAGCAGCTCACATCATTCAAACTGAATAAGCAGCTCAAGAAAGAAAAATTTATTATAGCTGCAGTGCTAACTAAATCACAACTGCAGCTGAGCTGTGCCATTTTTGCTATAAAGACGGTAGGTCTAGAAGACTATGCTATGGGACAGCATACGTTTCCTTAGGCAGGAAGACTAAAAATATTAAGGAAAAAAAGCATTGCAAAAGGGAAATGGTTCACAACTCATCCTGTATGTTTTAAGTTGAGATAATGGGCAGTGAATAATGTTTTCATATGTTTTCATTTTTATTTATAAATGTTATTAAAAAGAGTTCATGCTCGTGGATTAATATAAAATAATTGCCCAGTTACTTGGCTGTGTCCAAAAGTACTGCTGTTAACTAACAAGTGGAGTAAAGAGCCGTTTACTATCCACTCCAACTCTGGGATCCCATTTTGCAAGAGCAATGTTGCTGATGTATGCTACAGCATGATGCAGCATCTGTTCCTCTAGATGTACAATAGCAAGGTATAACAACTGAATGGAGAAACTAAGGTGATGCATATTACTCCCCTTGCTTCTATCCTATGATGAAGATGGAAAAGGGGGCATTAGGACAGAATTTGGCTGCAAATTTCCTGCACACTTTTGAAATACTGAGGCATACATCACTGTTCTTGTGCTGCTGTGAAGCTTTTATGTTCTGCAGCAGACATAAAGGATTCCTGCATGCAGGAAAATGTAAAAGTAGTTCATTTCTGCACAATCTTACGTTGCTTCATATTGTCAGAGCTACACAAAGGAGCCGCAGTGTTCGTAGAGGACTGGTTTGTAATTTGGGATTTTGAAAGTATATTAAAAAAATCACGCACCAACAACAGCTTTTTATAAGCTGTTTTATAGCTTTTATAGCTGTGCAAGTCAATGACATTCTGTTTATTTTCACAGCAAACATGCTGGACGCTGCAGAGGCAGTGAATAGCTCTCTGATCTGCAGTTATAAAGAAAGCTCTAAAATAGGCAAGGTGAGTGGAAACATAAGTGAACAACAGCGGTAAAGTGCCTGACAGAAGCATAAAAGGCTTCAAAAAGTTATTCCCGAAACTCTACTTTTCAAGCATAATTTTCTTGCATGGGCAGTTCTGTGATGTGTGAAACAAAGAATGATGCAACAAATTGATTTATAACAAGCCTGTCATGTAAATATCTACTGAGTTCTGAATATGTGAAATAATGAAACACCTTGAATGATATTTGTATCATTCTCTTCTTTAAACAACAACAGCATAAAACTGTTGTAGGTAATGCCTTGGCAAAACCAGGGCAACATGTTATGAACACAAAACTTTTTAATAAAACATCTACAATTTTCTTGCTGTAGGACTTACCCCACTGTGATGTCAAAGATGTTACTTCCAACAGAGCTGGACACAGCCATGTCCCCTAGACCTTTGCGTGCTACGATAACACTGGTAATTAGGTCAGGAATAGATGTGCCAGCTGCTAAAATAGTCAATCCCATGATCTCCTCACTAATACCAATGGTTTCTCCAACCTGAAAGAGATGCAGTAAAAATCAGCAAAGTCCTGTGGTGGGAAAACTCTCTCTCTACTCTCTTCTCTCTACACTCTGTACTGGAGATCCTCTCTACTAGAGGATTTGCACTCTCTACTGCAAATCTCTGACTTGAGCTTCCTGACTAGCTTGGAAGTGCAGTGACTGCAGACACGACTGGAGAATTGCTTGTTTTCACTAGTTCCATGAATTTCAGGGAAAGAAATGTAAGAATGTCAAAGAGGGCCAGTAGGTATCGACAAATGGCTGTTTACAGTGCTGATGTTAGCAGAAAGATCAAACAGATATTGAGGACCACCACAGTCTCTGCTCTACTTTCTATGTACTGGGTAGTGATTTGCTTCAATCATTGTTCCTGCTCCTAAGGTAAAATGCTGCTCAGGATGAGGCAGAGGATGGGCTCTGGTTCTGAACAGTTCCTTGCAGGGTAAAACACAATGCAGCTCTTATACCTTGTGCCAGTGCAACATCGACTTACCTGATGTGCCCACCAGACCATTAAGTAAGAAAAAAATCCAATCCAACTGATTGAACCAAAAAATGTGATTGGAAAAAATTTTCTTGACTTCTGAAACAGAAAGAAAGAGAAAGAGTGAAGAACTATGTTAAAAGCCAATACGCTGTATTTTTATTCTCTCCTTAAGTGACCTCTCATTTATTCTGATCACCTATTCTAGTCATTTTTTATGACCATCACCAGATGATCAAAATAAATAACAGGAAATTCAGAAAATTACTGCCCCTACTGATACATGCTTACCCATGCCTTGTTCTTCCACTGGCTTCACTTATAAATTCAATGTATATGAGAAGATTCACTTCCTAACAATAACACGTGTTATACTGAATGGCAAGGTTTGGATTGTGATAAATATTACATTCATGTTACATATATATATTTAGCTGCATAAAAGTTTATGAATGACTTTATGCATAAGAAAAAAGAATGTTTTCAAATTGTTGTGAGTGGTTTTCATATCCTTTGTCTGTGCACAGGTTTCTTTGTGCATCAGTTTTCACAGTCAGTATCAGAAAGGCTGTCATAGCACCAAGCTAAAAAATATACATTTAAACTTTACTAGGACATTTAATCATTCTCGGGAAAATGTTTTCATATTTTTAATTAGCAGAGAATTAAACACACTTTTCATATGCTTTATTCTAAAGAGAGTTTATTAACAAAGGAAAAGGAATGCCATATTTTCAGACCCTTCAATTAATTCTGAAGTCAGTATCACATCAAAATAGCTTCATTTTAATTTTCGCTGTCTGCTACATCAACGCTAAGTTTTGAATATATAGCATTCTTGCAGCCAGTGAATGGGTTATATTCATATTAATAACTTATTTTGGTCACTTGATCCTCTCAATCTTGTTCATCAACCCCATGTCCTATTGGCTAGCTAGGTCTTTTTAATAAAAAATCATCAAAATAACTGCTGAAGAAAGGAAACATCGCTGCAGGACTGTATCACGTAATCACTACCCAAAGTTAGTGTATAAAATGGAATCAGTGCTGTGAATAAATGCTGCTACTCTTGGATAAAACCAGATCCCTCATGGGCATCCACCTTTCACAGACAAACCATCTCCCACTCCGTCTGCACCGTGCCGATCGGAGAGCGCGCGGGACGGCTGGTGGAAGCGGGTTACCCGCTCGGAGGGGTCACCCCAGCTGCTGCTCCACCTGCAGTGCCTCTTCTCCCGAAACCCCCATCACATCCACTGCTGACTTCCCCTGTGCACATGCCACCGGGCTTGCATTTTGCCAAGCAAACAGTAGTTTCCTCCAGATCACATCTGACTGGCAGGACCTCTCAGCAGGGGAAGCTGCAGAGGAGATACCCCTTTCCCTGGGCAGGAGAAATGCTGCCGATTGGGCTGGGCTGAGCTGTGTTGATGCCTTCTTGCTCAGAGAGTTTATGGAACTGCACTGTCAGCTTGTCTTTTATGAAATATAATACATATATACATACGTGCATATATATATAAGGCCAGGCCATCACTGACGGGAGAAATGTAAAGTTGGCAATGGTAACTGTACACACTCACCTACACAAAGGGATGGCTAAAACATCTATATAGGTATAAATAGCTATTGCGCTACCATAAAAAGTCTTGGTTATTTAAACTCCATTACTGTCAGAAGCAGCATTCTAGAAGGGCACAAGCCACCCCCAGCTTCCCAGCTCCTAAAAAGCAAACACAGGGCATCGCTCATCCCTCAAAGCCATGAACTTTGGATATATTAGAAAATCTGCTAAGGAGCTTCCAGTATTTCTGTTTAAACTTATCAGACTTATTCAACTTATTAAAGTTAAATCAGATTCACATTTAATTTTAAAATCAAAACTGTCCCTGCACTGGGATCAGTTCTCCTCTGAGAAGGAGCACAATTATGTGATTCAAAATAGGTGGGAGCACAGCCAAGACTGGAAGAAATAAACAAATCTAAGCACTTTTTTTTTTCTTTTTAACTAAATAACTAGTATTTCCTTTTCAGCTTTCTTAGGACCCAAGTCTTCCAACTTTTACCATAAGCTTTTCTTCTCTATAAACACTGGGATTTTCAAGAAAGTCATGTGGAAAATGAGAAGAAGATGAAGTGATAATCTTATTGTCAGCTGGTTTCCGAATTCAAATAGAGGGAACAAATAATAATAGTGGAATTTGAATAATCGCTCTACAGCAATCAAGAAATAAGCACATATTAGATTATGCAAATCCCAGCTATGGCCAGTAATAATAAAATTCAACAAGAGTACAGGATTATAAATACCAAATGGTTCTTGTAAAATAATTGCGTATTGCTTATCCAGGTCGGACATCCACAGAATGTGGAGAATTGGATGGCTGGGAATTATGAGTCAGTAACTTCTGCAGCATGTGTAAGACCCAGACTGTCTCAGCCAAGTCTCCTCCAGCTTAATTAACTGATAAGAAGCAGTTCAGGGTTATGAGTACTTTAATAGACTTAACAGTTTAATTATCTATTTTAAAAGAGAAAGCATTTAAGCTCAAAAAGTTCAAAATTTAAAGCTTGTACCTGTTACAGAAGGTGAAATCAACAACGGACTCCTTAGATGCTGCTATACAATTTGCATATAGATGATTACTTTTCAAAAAGCAAAAATGGGACTATTGATTATTTTCTGATGTTGCATCTTATTTCCAGAGTATAATAGAAATTATGTTTCTTTTCTAATTAGTAACAACTCTTTTGAGTTTTATCTCAGTATAACTTCCAAGCTTTTGGTAATATGCAGAGCTGTTTGTTAGTTCTCAGCATTTTGCTACAAGAATTAGTCAGAAAGGGCAGACAGCAACGCTTCTCTCCATCCTCTCTGGAGCTGCGATCTTTGCCTTGCCAAGACAAAGACTCCTGTTTACTGCCACTTGGTTCAGTTGTGGTCATGGTAACAGAACAGAAAATGGAGGAAGAAACATGTATCATTCAGTTTGTATCCTATTTTCATTTAACAAAATAACAATAATTTTGTAGCTTCGCTGTATATCTGTTGGATTGGTATTAATCCTGTTCATCAGTAACCTTAACTACATATACCCTGGTGCATCTCTGCATTGAATTCCTGCCAATATTTGAAAAAAAATGGACTTACTAAAATAAGTAACCACCATGATAGAAGTATGTTGAAAAAGTGAAGTCTTTTTAATTTCTTTTTCTTTTTTCCTGAGTGCCTGACACTGCAACATAATGAGTGCTTAGTATTTTACAAAGTAATCCTCTAAATTTTAGCCAGTCTCATTACTGACATCCTTACGTTTAACCTGAATGAGTCATATGTTTGTCTCATGCATGAATTTATCTGCATGCCGTCTCTGATTTTCCATCCGTATTTGACAGTGGCTAAATCTGATTACTCAGAAACCTGCTCCGGTAACGAGATCTATGAGGGAACATCGTGTCCTCGTCCCCTTGGTAACAGCGCGTCTCCATACGCTCACCTTAGTCGTGTCTCTTGGCCCTTAATGGGAACAAAGAACAGTCCTATATGGGTCCAACAACAACAGCACCGGGCTCAGGGAGGGCTTTTTGGCCCTGGTCATGAGGGCAGAGGCAGCACACTGTGGCTATGGCAAGGGAGATGCACTTTGATTTCGACTCCTATCCCCCCATCAAAGTTTCAATAGCTCTAGCTGTTGGGGGTGGACAGCTGTATTTATGGTCCTTGTAAAGCCACTGGTGAAATGAGCCATCAGTACAGTGAAAATATTCATCATTTTTACAAATATCTCAATGTAAGGCCAACAACAAAATTTCCCTAGAACACACCTGCTTCTGGAAATGATTGGTATTATAAGGATTTCTAAACATTAATTTATTATTGAGCTATAATTGAGATGACAAGCACACACTAAAACAAGTCAACTATTGAACCAGTGGATCAATTATGGCAGCTAGTACATAATCTACAGTAGATTAATGCAAATATCTATATCTGTACACCAGAGTATAGTAAGGGTGCAAGGATTTTTACCAACTTGATAACCAGATCGCTTGTACACAAAATAATTTTGCTGGTGTTTCTGGCTTTTCTGGAGCTAAGTGCAGCTTGTTTTAAGTGTACATGGTTTGACACCATGTGCAAGCGTCCATAGTGCCAAAGCTTCCCCACTAAGATGAGATAAAATAGGACTCTAGGAGACTGGAAGGAAAGCAGATTTTTGAAAAGGATGACAAAGTGCCTTATGGTCTCTCAAATCAATATTTAGCCCACAGGGTTCATTGTATATGCCCACATGCTATTTTGAGAATCCCCATGCAGATATAGAATTTCTGACTAAAATTATCCCCTTTTGCAGATCAGGCCCCTGATGTTAGGCTTGTCTACAAAATCTACTAAAGTATTGCTTGAGGCTTGCTTTAACTTTTGCCTCACAGACCAAACATAAAGTGGTTTCCTGAAGCACATGCTGAGCTGTGCAGTCCGGCCTTGTTTTCTTTAGGCAAGGGAAGGGGGATGCACACAAGTACAAGTGAGAGTATTTTAGAGACAAACACACTAATGAAGCATCCTCAAAAAGTTAGACAGCTGGGCACAAGGGCTGATGCAACCATCTGCTTAATTCTTTGACAGTGAAGTTCAAAGTAAACAGCTTGTCACATTCATACAGCTTGTTACCTCTTCTGCTATTATTGCATGTAATTACAAGCTGCAAACAGTATGCAATTCACTTTTATTTCCGTATAGCAAGCTAGTCCTTTCAGTGAATGAAATTTTAAAACTCGGCTGCCCAATGACATATCTGACACATGCAAATATGCTTATCGCTTTTGTTATGGCAGAATGTTTTAATTCCAGGATGTCAGCACACTAGTCTTTCTGTGAACAATCCTGGAGTTAATATTCACACACATTAGACTGTTGCACGCGAATTCATCAGACACCGGCTTTCCCAAGCCATTATTCCGACTAATCTCATCTACACAGTATTGAACAGTGGATATCTATAAATCTTCAAGAAGAAGAAACAAAAAAGATTGCAAATGCTATTAATGTTAGCATCAGAATTTTTAAATTCAAAATATTGCATACACTTATTTCTTAGCAGTACTTGCTAATATTAGAACAAATCATGAAGAAAAATAATACAGTGATGATTTTGAATAACAAAATGAGGGCATAAATACAGAAATAAACAGTCTTGGAATTCATGTAGCATGTTCTTTTGTGTTACCAGACAAAAATATTTACCAGTGTTGTTTGAAAGCTTGAAGAAAATAGGCTTAAAAAGAGGAAAAAATGTCAGTTTCTACCCTTAGAGAAACCATTATCTGAAAACAAATGAAAATATTTATTTTAGCTTGTTTCTTTCACTGAATTGCAGTTTTTCACTGTGTGGGATGGAAAATGTGATGAGGAAGAAAAAAAGGAATAAGGGTATTGATTTATAACCTTGTAAATTGCACAACCTTCTGCTGCTGGAGGTTTAAGTCTATTTTTGATTCAAAAGGGAGCAGATTAAAGCAGTTCTAAAGGATTCTTTCAATGACTGACTTTTTTTTTTTTTTGACTTTTCCATTGCCTCCCCAGCCATGATTCTATTATTGCTTGCATATGTGAATAAAAAAGAAGTAGGATTTGACATTTTATCACAGTAAGTCATCTGTATTAAGTTTTCTGCACTTGGAAAAACTTCTGGATCTTATCCTAGTATGAAAATTAAAGGATGACAAATAGAAGTCTCCTTTACTCAATTTTTAGTCACATCTTCCTGAAACAAAATTGCCCTTTAATGAGAATGGCTCTACAGGGCTAGTAGAATATGCATTTTAATAAAAATGCATACCATTATTTTTAAAACACAGAAAATCTAGTCTTTGACTTTCCAGTTTTACCCTTTACGGTATTGCTGTTGGGCAGACTTCCTCACTAATGCTTAGTGGACATCTAGAAATATAGATCTAAAAGCTATGCAAAGTTTTAAGAGCTTTTTCAATGTGTGATAAAATATTAATGAATACAAATGGCAATATTCACAGAGCTGTTATCTTTCCGCTACCCATAAGCACCCACTTGAATATTGACGTTTACTCTATAATTCTATTGTGGCGCCTTCTTCACAAAAGGAAGCTTAAAAAAATAGTTCTACTTATGTTTAAATCCACCATGGCCCCTCCTTGGATTCTGGCATTCACCAACCGTGCTGTGCAGAAGACACTGACCTAAAACAAGGGCTACTTACAGGATTCCTGACATCTGGGAGGGAAACCCACAATGGGAAAACAATGGGTAAAACAATCAGGTAGGTGATTTGTTTGCGCGGGGTGTCGGGCCAGGCCAGGCTGAGAGGCTGGTCCTCGTCCTCTTCTTCATTCTGTGAGAAAAACAGCAGTGAACAAAGTATTAAAGGGGATCAATAAGGTTAGAGAACCTTCAGGACTCCACTATGTTTCAGTAACTGCAGGGTATCCCTGCAGCAGTGCTTGCCAAGGACATCTCTGATGGCATCCGTGCTCACAGAGGGACCAGCATCAGCCTTCTTCCTTGGGTGGACACTTGTTCACCTGGTGCCTCAGATGGGCCTTCCTACAGACCCTCCCTCATGGACATTGGTAGTCCGATCAAAAACCAAAACTGATCTGGTCTGCATCAAACCTGGCCACATATGTATGCATATATACCTATATATATAATACACATTTATGTACTTTTCTCTCATTCATCGGACCACAGAGTAATCCAGGCTGCCAGGGACTTTGGGAGGTCCCCTGTCCCTCCTGCCCAAAGCATGCTCAGCTGTGGGGTCAGACCAGGTTGCCCAGATCTTTGCCCAGTCAGTAAGAGTTGGCTGAAAACCTCCAAGGACAGAGACGGCACAGCCTGTCTGGCCCAGCTCCACTGCTAGGCTCTCTTTGAGGGGGAATGTTTTTTTCACATCCAGCCAGAATATGTCTTATTTAGACCTGCCACAACCCAGCAGTCTTCTTAACAGCTTGGTGTTAAAACTAAAGGAAAGAAATTCCTCCCTCACTGGTGTAGCTGATAGCTGATCTTCACATTAATCCTTCACCTCCTTTCACGTGTATGCTCTTCACGTGCCATGTCCACTACAGAGCAGACGTACTGTGATCATTTCCAACGACAGAAAGCCTTTTGACTGCTACATACATCTTCCCTAGCTTTTTCTGTCACCCAGCCTGCTGGCGAGGTGCAGCCCTTTGAGACTGCTGCAGAAGGGAAGCCAAGGGAGCATGATTCAGACCATCTTAACATCACACTTTTTTATTTTTATTTCTTTTTATTTTTTATTTTTTTTCTGGCTTATTTAACCATGGTACGTCACAGCTAGGCAATGTGTCTAAAACTGCACACAGGTCTAACTTACCCCACAGAACAGAGTAACAGAAAAATGAAGGATGAACTCCTGAACTATTCAGCTATTGATGTATTATGAACCGATCAGTCCCTAGAGAGGCAAAGACCAACTCTCAGCTCAGGCTTGTCAGTCATACAACTATACAACTTTATCACCTTACACCAATGACTGGAAACAAACTCATTTTTCCTCCTGACACATTGACAGGATGCAGCTGCTTTGACGATTATGTGCTGATGTCAACAGAAGACTGTATTTTGTTAACTCTACACTTTGTCTAACTCCCAATAATAAGATGACAGTAAATTGAAGAGGTCATGATAGGCACTATCATTAAAAGATTTTTCAAAACACACACAGAAACATGATTCATGATAATTACAGTACTTCAAGAAGCTCCTGAGCAGCTTAAGAGCTACCTTTAGCTTTCAGCTCTTCACCAAAGCAGGCAGATACTCAGTATCTCACTTCCCTAGTTTATTGATACCTTTCTGGGGGACCGTTCAGGTGCAGATGCAGGAGTTTGTGGGGTTACTCTCCTAAAATCATATCTGTTCCCTTTCCACTCCAGTAGACAATATTGGGTTAGGCAAATCAAACCAAGCAGGATGTTGAGCTTTGAAATATGATGATGGAGGTAATATTTGAGCACAAAAAGAGCAATTGAAGGGTTGCCTAGGTAACTCTTTATGAGTGGCTTCTGCATAATTCAAGCAGCAGACTCAGCAGGAATAAGCCTCCGCAAATGACTGTTTCATAAGCAGATCAAAATGACTATTTTCTGAATTACCATCTTTAGAAATTAGCCATGATCAATGACCATTTTTAATCACAACAAGAACTTTACATACAAGACTGAGTTTATGCATGAGTCAGCAAAATTTAAAGAAATTAATACCTAATTACCTTATACCTAATTTGGTTCATGCAATACTCTACTGGTATACACAGTTCTTCAACTCTGGGCCTTATTCTGGTTGCATGTCTTTCTTTGTGAAATGGTGCTGGACTATCATGAACACACTTGCAACACCAATGTCACTATACAAAAAGCATTAAAGAGTACATTTGGAGATTTGGCACATGCATCCTGGAGAAACTTGGTCCCTCTGTTCAAGATGTTTCAACTTCAAGTTGTACTACCTCATCTGTCTGTCCAGATAACTTCCTCCAAAATAAAAACTCAAGTTCCAGCTAAAATCCAGCAGGGAAAAGAGTATTTTCCTTGCTAGTTTATCTCCAGGATGCATTACAGAAGCTACAGACCAGCTCTTTGTTTCTTGTTTCATAAATCAGAATCAGCATCTGATTCCCAAATCAGCAAAACTAAGCAAGTTCAACACATTTGCAAATCTAGCCTTCAATGATTTCACTGTGAACTGAGGTTGAAGGAAAGAAAAGGAAATAATTTTTACAACAGCTAAATGTTGCAAATGTGTCATGTTCTAGACTAAGCAGGAGTGGCATAAAGTGACACAGCAGAGAGTTATGGCAGAGATGCTTGCACTGTCCATTTTACTGACTGTGTCTGAAAAGATAGTTCAGAATATCATAATGAAAGCACACTTTATTTATACCACAAATAACGTTAATTCTAAGTATTCTGAATTGTCACTAAAAACAATACTATTCCTTCCAAATATGACTGGCATCAGCTCAACTTCCTTTAACCAGTATGAACATCAGGAGACCTTTTCCTAGGACAGGTTTGCGTGTGGCACACTGGTAAATACAAACTAATCTGGGGGAGATGGGAGAGGATAAAAGAATACGATAAAATTAGGATTATAATAGTCACTGATCTTTTTCCATGAAATTCTGATCATTTGTCATGATCGTTTCCACTTTTGTGCTGTGTGCCCTCCCACTTATGCTTGGGACTGTCTATCTGTTCCATATGACTTTGCAGTGCTAAACGTAATGTGTGTGGTCTTCCCCGAATGGCCTGGACATGCTACTGTAGTGTAAAAAACAGTAGCGACAACCAGATGAGTTCTGTAATAGGCAAATGTGCCATTTGCATATTTTGCCAGGGGTAGAGAAGTACATCTGTAAATAACAAAACGAACAGATGCAACTCCTCATTTTGAAGAGATGAGATTAAAGGTATAGTTTTGCTATATATTCCCTTTTACATGCCTGTAACAAGTACACTTCTAACATTTTCTTTTAAACCAATCTATGTATATTCCTAATCCTATTCTTGCTACTTCATTTCTTCTTGTATGTTACACATGCCACACAATGAAAAAGGTATCAAATCTCCCCCCTTTCCATCTTCCATGACTTCTTCATCCAAGCATGTGGATCTAATACTTCTCTGTAATCCTGTGGAAAACATCTCCAATTGTTTTGCTTGTGATTAATCTGACCTCTATTCCCTATTGCCCAAGAAAATCTGCCCAGAGACAGGAAGTGACTATGTGTTTCACATTATATAAAAAATGACAACATATGGTGACATTCCATCAATAACTCTTTTGTTTACAAACAACACCTTATAGCATACTCCATCTGCCAAAGTCACATTGCTTTTGGCAAACAGCAGAAAATATCTGTCTCCCAAGACGCTTACGCTCAAAATAGATTATCTAAGAAAAAACAGTTGTTTATCTAGCATAACACCAACCTACTGTACTTCTACATTTTTTAGCTGGCAATAGGAAAACATGGAAAACAACTCCAATGAGTCACTTGAAACCTGCCTGAAATAATATGTCAGTATTTGCCAACTCGTCCATATCTTATAACAGCAATAGGATATGAATTACAAACATGTATTTTAGGCTAATTCTGCTTGCTCAAATGAGATAACTGGGATAAATAAGAACTGAATGAAAAATCCTCATGTTTGTACATGTCTTGTGTGTCTTGACTTTTGATATGGTTAATCAGCACAGAATTAGCATCAGGTCATCCCTGGAAAGGGAAACTGCAGATAGAGACTATTTGCAATTCAATTTGCTCATGCTGAAACATAGATATTGCCCTAGATGTAAAAGTGTCTTTACCTGATAACGCTGCACAAGGGTGCTGAGGTATTCTTTTTTCTTGGAAGTCAGAAGTGAAAGCACAAGCCAACTTTGCACAATGAGTGAATCAAGAAATAAATACGATGTCTCAAAAGATATGATGTACCTATCTAATTTAAGTATTGTTGTTCAGTGTTGAGCAGCAAATATCATATTAATTTATTTCACCAGAAAGGCAGAGGATAGAGGCAACTAGAGTGCTACTGTAACTCTGTAATAGCGTCAAGCTTCTTCTCCATGACCTGAATTAATCATTTATCTACAGCAACAGCAACTGCTAAAACTCATTTGGAAAAATAAATGAAGGAAGGTGAGGTGCTAAGCTAGAGTGGTAGTTGCCAATATCTAAATAGCTCAGACAACATCTTGCATTGACAATTCTGGAGTAAAAGTCAAGAATGGAGTAGAATTCAATGTCTTTGCTTTCAGAAAGCATTCTGCTTATAGAGGTCATTCTGCTTAACACAGCTAATTTGTGCTAATCCTCTTTGCCCTCTGGCTGAAAAGAGCCACCTTTTCGGCAGAATCTTTGGGAATGAGCAAGGCATGGCTTGTCTTTTGCTTACTGTTATAACTGTCAGTACCAGGAAGCACCTGAAAACATAGTTCCCTGAGACTTCATGCAGTTTTCACTGCCCACATTGCCCATGTTGTACTCTTCGGAGAATTTGAAAATAGTGTCATGTTCAAAATTACACTTAGCCCATCAGTGGAAGTAACAGCTAAGGGTGTAAGGAGATGCAGCTCACTATTGTGATTTTCAAGTAAGTTGAAGTAGCACACTGCAGAGAAAACGGAGGAAAGGCAATTCAGTAGCCTTGGAAAAATACAGATCAAGCCCTTTCAACATTAGAGCAATCTCATTAAGTTACAAAGAGCTATACTGGCAAACCAGAGATAGGCATTCATTTACGGTGCGTGTGGCAACTTAAAAGAGTTTCAGGCACTGGAAAACATCTTTTTAAT